AAAATTGGAAAATACCCACAATTGTAATGCATTCTGAAAAATCCTTGCAGAGGAAGAATCCCGTGTAATGTCATCTACTCTTAGTGTATCACTGTAAACCACATGCATTGTGCTGTCCCACACAGTATCCAACACCTGAATAAATGGCAAATGGTCCAAGCGCAATCACATAAATAACCCTAGGACCAAAACCCCTTGCACAGCACTCCAGCAAATGAAGTTCACTTTACAGAAGTACTGACGAAGAGCAAAACAACTTTGGAAAGAGGAGAAAACTTTAAAAAGAATAACGAGCAATAATGTGAAGAAGGCAAAGTTTGGCCACAAAGTGCTGATGCAGAACTGATTACCTCTGGCCAGCAACTGTCCTGCAAAGTGAAGAGCAAATGTTCACCTCAGATCTAACAAAAGGTAGAAAGGTACCCCAACACAGACTGTAGGCTTTGAATACCCAGAGCAGATCTGCTGCCAGTCAAAAGACACAAAAGACTAAACTAAGTATAAAAATCACAGCAGAATGATTTGAATAATCTGGATGGTCGGGAAAAAAAAGAGAAACAAGAAGGCTGTGAGTGGTGAGGGAGATGGAACTGCACACACTGTAAGCTATAACTGGTAAAAAAGAAAAGACAATGGAAAAATGAACACTAGGAAGTGAAGGGACAAAACAGAAAAAAAAAAATGCAACGTACAAAATTAAATCTGTGACAAAAAAAGATCTGAGGAGAATTACAAAGCCTCAAAAACAGAAATTAAGACTGATGAATAGAGACAGAGTCGGAGGGAATGAGAACAGGAAGAGAACAAAGGTGAGCAGGAATAGACGACGGTGAGAAGAGGCAGAGAGAACCAAGGAGAGACGAGCAGACACTTACTGAGGCGCTACTCTCCTCCAGTATCTGTCAATGCCATTTTTGAAGTAGAGCACAGCCAGCCACCGAACATTCACAGCCAGCATGTGGTTATTGAAGATATTCTGTAGAAAAACAAATACATACAGAAAAGCATTATGTGTCTCAGTCTACGTCCACATTCCTAAATTTTCATTTGGAAATGCATCAACTCCGCTACAGATATGCGTGGCGTCCACACTACTACGATTTCTGAGGCTCTGCTGGCCTCGTTTTAGTTTGAAAACTCCAGGGCTGTTTTAATCTAGACGGAATCAAACAGAGATGTTTGGAAACTATGACATAGACACACACACAACCGCTTGCTGATTGTAACATCGATCATCGATTACAAGCGTTTTTGGTCCTGTTGTCTTTGCTAACAACTGCTATACAGTTAAATTCTGCATTTTAAAATGATACAACAGCTTACATGTGTAGGAGACGAGCTAATGTTGGAGCAGTCTGTTCACAACTACACATGCATGTAAGTGAGTGGTCATGTGATATGCGCTTTTAGGAGTGTTAGTATGGACGGTGATTAAAATAAAAAGAAATTCAGAGCCAAAAACGCTTGCGTGGACTGAGATCATATTATTTTAAAAAACGGCATTTTAAAACTAAAACACAGAATTATGGACATTGCCTTACTAAGGTATTTGGCAAACAGCTTTAATTTACTTCTGTATTGATTCTACACGTCACTCTGTTGGAAGGGTGTAACACCACTCGCCATCTAAAGGTCACAGCCAGGCCAAAATCTGTAGTCTCCATCATTTTCATACTGATCGAACCATTCAGGAACACACTGTACCCTATAGATGGGGCCTTTGTCATCCTGGAAGAAACCCCTCCCATTTGCATGAGGTTGCCATTACCTTAAAAAACCTGGCTGAGCACTGTCACCATGTTCCCATAGTCATTCTCCTCATTGCAAAAAGGCAGGGACTTCATACAGAGATGCACAATAATATCAGGGATTGGAATCTTGGCTCTTGTATTTTCAGATTTTGGAAACGTGGGAACAAACTTTAGTAAAATGCAAAAAGAATTTAACGTCATATTTTCCCTTTAACACAGATGTCCTTGAAAACATCCTTCTGTTGTATCAAGGGAATAAAATATCATTAGCAGAGCAACAGAGTTTACTAACTTTCTTGAATATGCCAATCTGATCACTGGCACTAAATGTTTATTAGATGCATCAGCACACCATGGAATTTAGCTGGCCTGGCTGAAATTAGATTTACTGGTGCTGTCCCTCCTGTACTAAGGCACAGACATAATTTTCCTCAACTAAATTAAAAAGGGCACATTGCGCACCTTGGGAGATAATGATATGCTTTGGACCATGGCGTGAAGCAGAAACCCAATTTTGTCTAGAGCGTTTTTTGTAATGTCAAAGCCTCCGTGACTCCAGAGACAACACTAAACCGGGGTTTCTTTCACAAAATATGATGCGGATAAAAAAAAAAAGTTCCTTGATATAATTTCAAACCCATCAACCACCACATTCCCCCTGACACAGAAATCCCCTGAAAACCCCTGCAAAGCCATTTTCAGACATGAACTCCAAAGAATGTCTGCACAATAAGGTTTACACTTTCTTCAAAGTTTGCCTTTAACATTTGAATTACAAATCAGGAGATTCTATGGTCAGATGCATACATTTGTTTATAGGACATCAACACTGACATCCGCTCTTTACCACTGGAAGCTTTTGAATCTTGTCATCTTTCCCAGTTGTAATTTTTGTCCATGTCTTCACTTTCTTCACCATGAGAGAAATGTATTCCTTTTGTTTTTTTCAGTTTTGCATCTGTTGCATGTTAGAAACAACATGAACGCACTTGAAGGACCTCCTGCTGTATTCTCACACTGGCTCACTTGGACATTATCCAGAGTTTTTACGAGGGAGCTGACAGGAGAAACTCTAAAACTCAGAAATGCAAGTGCATCAGAAATTAATACAAACGCAGCGACACCTTGCTATCTCCTAATTACACCACATTCATCAAGATCTACACTTATTAGAGGCTTAATTGTTTTCACTGCAGCAGATTTATTCAAATTATTTGCTATCATCCCTCACCAGAAGGACTGAGTAGAAGCCTGGCTGGGTCTCCCACTGTCGGAGCTGCTCCTCCGCAGGCTTCAGCACAGATGTGTCCTGACTGGTCGCTTGGGTTAACGCCTGCAGCACCACTGAACTGGCACTGTCCATATCCATAGCTGGATATATCTGCAGGGGAATGTGAGAGGGAAAGGGTAGAGGGGGGAAAAAAGGTTAATGGAAATTAATTGCTTTTGTTGTGAAAAGTTCAAGTTTGAGTAAAAACCTTTGAAATAGTTCCACCAGCGAGATAACAAAACGTCAAGAGGAAGCTGAGTGAGTCAAACACATTTTTTCTTTTAGCTTTTTCTGGTTTTATCTCTTTCTCCCCCCATTTTATGATAGATCAAGCAGCACTGGCATCACTGTCGAGCATCATGACAGAGAAACAAATCTTTCTGCATAAAAGAAAAGCACACCTGATAAAAACATGACAAGTTATCTACCACACAAAGAGCTGTTCTGAGTGCCAGATACTATTCATGCAACCCAGCTTCACAGGTCCAGGGATGTATTTCAGTTTCAAAAGGCAAAACCTGAGTCGGTAGCTCAGTCATCTTTGAGCCACGGAAAAGCGAATCTCTGGTAGATTAAACTTCTGCCTAAAATGAGTATCATAAACCTGTCCTTATGGAGGTCATATCTCAATATTTCCAGAGGTATTTGTGAAATAGATAATGTGGTTGTTTAATTAAACCCATTGGAAAACATAGTCATTTATTATTTTTCAGCTCTGACATCATTTCATGGTGGAAAAACTTTATATAAGCAAAATATATATTATCTGTTATTGTCGACTAATCATGTAAAAAAAGCTGCAGTCAGGGAACGTTTAGAAGTTTGTTCGGAAAACAAAAAGGCACTTTTTCCAGACATTGGCCAGATTGTGTTGCTGAATAATTTGTTCACCAGAGAGACTGGAGAGACACGTCGATGAGCCCAGCAGAGGTTGTGTGGTGGAAGTGAATTATTACTAAGTTAAAATAACAGTGAGGGGAAATATTGAGCAAGGCTGCCATCTACAGCCCAGACACTGAAATTCAGCTCCATGATCCACTGTGTGCTTCTGTAACCACGTGTGCACAGTGATCGTATATTGACACTAGAATTCACTGGCAGTGCTTCGGAATGACCTGTGTTACTGAGAGATTGATTCTTTTAATAAACAAACCATGGATTATTCATTCAGTGACAAAGGCAGTATGAAGACTCTGAAGGTTTCTGTTTTACGGTGTGATTGTCGAAAGTAGCACCAATACTGTTGATGAGATTAATAAAGGACGTTTATGTCTCCAGAGGGAAACTATTGTTGTGTGACAGCCTCAACAGGAATCATTTTCTATGCAAAAATGTACCTGCAAACCATAATAGATCAAACAAACAGATACAGAGATGTCTCTGGCTAATACTGGCCAGTTTTTATCTCACATTACTTGTATCTCCTTCAGAAATAGGTGTATGTCCAGACATACAAACTAGGCTCATCCTAACTACTGAGTTAACAATAAGAGGCTGAATCTGGAGGAGTCAGAGACATGCTTGTAATAACACATGTGATCAGAAACCTTGGATAATATTAGAACTATGCATACAGAGCTCAATGTTGGTCCTTCTGCTTGATGCTGTTGAGCTTTGTATTTTTCTACATTGTTAACACACTGACGAATGACTCTCTATCGTGTAGTAGAAACTCTGTAATAGCAGCGGCTGTTTTTACCCAAAGCAATTCTACTAACACAGATGAGCTTGACATTCTCAGCTGAGCAATAAAGGAGTGACTGCCAAAAGCAGTACGTTCAGCCAGAAACAAGGGCTTGCTCATGCTACAATGTGATAAAGAAGAGTTATCTATATGTGTAAATATCTTTGAGCTGTCTGGTATTTTTAGACACTCAAGATGAACAAAAAGGTTGAATCATCTTAGCAGTGTCAATCATGTCTGTGCTGTACATTAATACATTAGTTTGAACAAGGGGACTTGTCATTTTTAAAGACTAATTTAAAGCTGGAACGACTCTCAAGGTGATCATTTAAGTGATCTGTCCTTCACGCAGTTAGTGAAACCCTAAAAAAAGGAGAGACAAGTTTCCAGTCAACTGCAACAATCTACCCAGTGTTCCTGTGCATAATGTTACTGTCCATTTCAAAACAGTGTCAAAACACCAAGTAAGATACTTGTACAACATCCATGCACAGTAGAAATGTGTTCATTAATTGTTTGTGCTTCTTCTCAAGCTGTCCACTTGATCTGTAATATCATAGGGCTCTTTCACTGCAAACAGTGACTACATTTACATGAACACCAATAATCAGACTACACAATAAGACATTATTCTGATTATGATGCTTATGTGAGTTTCTGATAAAATATTATATTCACATTTACATGTGACAGATTATAATAGCAAGCCGTTTATAACTGCTGAACATGTCGATGTAACAAAATGCTGCAAATACTCCAATAGATGTTATAATCTGATGAAGATGTATAAATGTCTACATAATGCAACTAAGGCCCTGTTCAGACCTGGTATCAACAAGTTAATTTGCTCACACTCGACATTAAAATGCTCCTGTGACCACTTGTGATGATCAAATCTCACTTCCCTGCTCTATATGCAAACTATCACATACATCATTTCTGTTTGTGAAGAGTGAATTATATTGTTTTACAAGTATGAGTTTACAGATGAGTAGTTTGTGTGTGTTTTTCTGAAAAAGAAAGAAAGGAGTAAGGGGGGTTTGAATGAATCTTGGGCAGCTATGCGGACGTCCGCTCAGTATGAGGTCATTCATATCTGGCACAGGACCGATTTGTATTCACACAGCAAATACAATGTAGCTACATGCGTCCCTGACCATCTATGTATGTAGTTTGAGTGATCGGATCTCCTGACACATTCAGGAGGTATTAGGGTGCGTTAAGACCTGAACTTAGAGCTGACTACTTGTGATCAGTTCACTCAGCACGGACACCAGGTCTGAAAGGAGGTGAAGATCCTATAACTCCTTATATACCCATTCAATTAGTGCTTTTTAAGAAAATGAGCGGGTTAAAGTAATCAGAAAATGCTGTTTCCATGACATTACTCTCAATGTGATCAAAGTCACCAACTTGTCATAGTAGGAGAAGCACATGTGTTTCCTGCAAAATAAACAATAGCTCTGTTCACATGAAGTGTCCCAGTGAAGACACAGGTGGTGATGGCTAATCTGTCACCATCAAGACATTGCTGGACTCACAACATGCCATGTCTTTGCTGGGATCAACATTTCAGTCCTGGTCCAATCTTCTCCATATATGATGCAGAAATAACAATGTTTTTGTATTTAAAGTGTAATTATTTATTTGTTCAAGCAAAGCATGTGTTGAGGTAACATCACTTGCATGCGTGAAAAACTGTAACCCACCCCCCTTTATTCCACTGGTTAGTCTTGCATGTATAACATATGTACTTGTACTGTCTTTCTGTGTTTTTATTTTACACTATGACATGTAGAAACGCCCCCTGTGAGAAATGCATGCATGTAGATCCACAACATGAAACGTGCTTGCTGTCAGGCTGCTGGGAGCAGTCTGCAGTGCACACATGTCAGCCATGTAACAGGTAGCTTGCCCTGACAGTTCAGTACTGTCGTAGGTTAACTACACGTGTGCTGCAGAACCTGTCAAACCTCGGAGTCGACGCCCCCCCACCCCCTGTTAGAGACATTGCCTCCAACGCTAACAGTAGCTACTTGCTAAATGCTTAGATAACAAGTAAGCTAGCAGGATAACGTTATTAGCAAACGGACGTCAAACACTGATAGCGTTAGCTGTACTGGATGAAACATTATCAACACACACACACACACACACACACA